GCACTTCCTTTTGAGCTAAAATCTCAGACAGGTTTAGCCTAAGCACTTGTATTTGCTAAGGAAGAAGCAACTTCCCTGTATAATCACAAGGAAAAGACCTCTGATGTTTTTCTTTTAGCTACTAGCATACACTCAGGGTCCTAGATAGAAAAATAGCCCTCAGAGATGTCCATGTCCTAATCCCTAGAATTTGTGAATATGTTACATTACATGGCAAAAGTGACTTGACAGATGTGATTAAGAATGATGAGTTAGAGCAATGATCCTGACTATCTGGGTGGGCCCAATGTTACCATAAGGCATTTATAAGAAGAGGCAGGAGGACCAGAGTTGAGAGACACGAAGATGGTAGAAATTATAGTGATGTGATGAGAGAAGGAATTAACTCACCTCTGCCAGCTTTGAAAGTGGACAAAGAGGGTCACAAGCCAAGGAACTTGGGAAGCCTCTAGAAGCTAGAAAAGGCAAGGAAACAGATCCCTCTCAGATACTTGAGAAAGAAATGCAACTGTGCCAACACCTTGATTTTAGCACCGTGTAGTCCACGTCAGACTTCCGACCCACAGGTCTGTGTAGTTATATAGAATTATAAAATTAATAAATTTGTGGTTTTAATCCCATTAAAGTTTACAGTGATTTGTAATGACAGCGATAGAAAACTAATATAGTTGTCTTAGAAGAACATGATCTCTTTAATAGATGAGGAGATATTTTAAAAATTTTTCAAGAAATATTCACTTAAAGTCTAAGATGTGTCAGACTCCAACATTTCAGATTAAAGAAAACTAAGACATCTTCCCTGTGGTCAGGAGTGAATAGTTTTTTCAGATACGTGAACTGGATTGTGTATACATGTTACATGTAGATACACACATTTATCTGTGTGCAGGATGACAGCAGAGTGACGGGAGAAGAAAGGGAAAATAAAGGAAAAGAGATTTTAGAAATCACTAAGCTAACTGTACAAATGAGGAAACTATAATCCAGCCTGGCATTCATAAAGTTTAATATCCACTTGCCCAGAAATAACTAGTACTTCTTTTGCTGAATTAACAAAATGAAAGCAATGTTGAAGTCTTTCTGAGATTCTAACACGAACAATCTCTAAATTTAGATTATGAATCAATCAGCCCTAGATGATTCTGAAGACAATCAGTTGTCATGGTATTTTCTTCTCCAACAGAAAATTTTAGGCTAAGCAACTGATTCATATTTTCTAATTCTAACAGTAAATTTCAGATTCTATTACATTTGAAAACTACAATTTAACAACGATGCACCTTAGGATGGTTTATATATTCTAATGAATATGAAAAATAATGTATATTTTTAAATTAGTACCTAAAATAAGCAAAACTATTATACAGAGAAATGTATTGATACAGTGGTTATGACATAATAATGTGCATCTGGAAAACTTTGGTTTTTTAATAATACTATTACATCTGACTTTAGTCTCAAAAAATAGAAATTCAAATTAGATGACTCTATATAATAGAGAATGATCAATGTGCATCTATATAATTTATATGTCTAGGACATTAAACCATGTCTTCTGAATGGTTTCTGACTGATGGAATTTTTCTATTGTGGTTAGAAAATCGAAGAGGAGAAGAAAAAAGCATTTTATCTTGAATTATTTTTTTCCACAGAGTTTCAACCTCTGTAGCTGAATTTGGAATCTTCTTATATCAAAAATCTATTACAGATAAAAGTATAGTCTTTCTGTGTAATACCTGTTAGGTCTGGGCATCAGAAACACTAGATTGATGAATATTTCATATTAATTGGCATTATAAACTAGTATAGAAACCAAATTTCTTATTAGTATTATCTAGTATTCTAAACTAGCATAACAACCTCATAAACTTCACATATCATCTGTGGTGAACTAAGACACTCTAAATACATTAAGTTTGGGGAAAAAATACTATGGTGATACTATAGAAAATAATGGATTAAATGCCTATACAATTTATATGATAGGGACCGTTTATATTATATAAACAGTCATGATGATAATGACAATGACAGTTATAACAGTTTTCCTGGTGCGAGGCTCTGTGATACATGATCTCATTTAGGCTTCACAATAATCCAATGGATCTGTATCATCTCCATCTACAGTTGAAGAGAATGACTTAGGAGGATTAAGTATCTTTCACAAAGGGACACAGCTAGTAAGTGATACAGCTAAAATTCAAACTCTAGCCAAAATCATGTCTGTCCAGCTCCCAAACCACACTTCTTAACCATCTTCTATTGGCAAGAGTGAATGTCCCAAAGTGTCCTGAAGGACTGAACTGTGTCTGGCACTTATTTCCTCAATCCATAGTACAGAATATTGAGGAACTCAATTAACCGTTAGTTTCCTTTATAAATAGTCTTAGTTTCCTTGATATAAACTGGATAGATTGGATGATGTTAAAAGTTCTTTTTACCTGTACAGTCATTCATATTTTAGTCATGTATTCCATAGACAAATACACATGCATTCCCTTTGCCAGACCTGCTCTAAATGAACCAAGCAGGGAAAGTCCCTGACCTGATCTCACTCTAGTGAGGAAGACAGACTATAAACAAACATTTCTGGAGAGGACTACTTCAGGAAAGGTATTTCTGGCAAGGGACATTTGAATTATCATGAATAACATGATGAAGTCATAGGCATATATCCTAGTGGAAGAGTTTTCTAGATAGGGGGGATTCATTCCAATGGCTCCTTTAAAGTCTAACCACACTGGACATCCTTTTGACTAAATGTATTTTTCTATATGATTATGGGATTCACACCTTAAGTGATACATTTTCGATGATAAAAAGAAGTTGGAAGTGATCATTAGCATTCAGCTGAACCTTAACTCTTTCCTAGACCTGCTAATCTGTAAACTGAAAATCTGCCATTTGGGATGGAGTCAAACACATGATTCAACAGTAAGTACCAAACTACTAACAGTAATTCATACAAAATATATCTAATATATCTTTGTTACCTTAGATATATTTTGTATGAATATATTTAGATATATTCATACAAATATGAATATAGATACATTTTAGATATATATACTTAGATATATTTTTTGTGAGGCTATAGTGCCTCACAAAATATATGTGATTATCTTTTGAATTAATATTGCTCTGTGAAGTATCATTTGTAAATTAATGAACAACTGTTTGTATTCCCCAGTGCTTCAAAGTTCATGCCAATGAACTGGAAAGCTTAACAAACACAGAGTTTATAGAAATCAGAATGAATCTCTATGTACTTAATATCATATCAGGATGTATTGCATAAAGTGAGTTGTTATTTAGCATAAGACTGGAGTAATGACAGCTTACTGTGCTAAATTTGATACATCAAAAGCATAATGCAATCATTTCTATTACTGTTATGTTCTCAAAACCTAGCACCGTTTGTTGATTTTATGACCACGGCATCTAACTAACTAGAATTTTGTAAAGTAGTCTGGAATGATCACTTAGAGAGTATTTACAATCACTACAAAATAGCTTCATTTTTTTATAAGTACTCAAATCAACAGAAAGCAACTCTTTTGGTATGATTTGGTAGGCAAATAAGCAAACAAAATTGCACTACTTCACTCTATGAATAATTTCACATCACATCTAGTGAAGTAAACAGAAACCTTTACTTCATTTAAATAACCAAAATGTTGGCACAAACGAGGTTGTGGGAATAATTTTATTTCTATTTCCAGTAGTAATATTGCATATAACTAGCTTAAATGCTCAATCATGTATGCTTCCATTATCTTAATTCTATATATAAATGTATTCACTTAGCAGTTTTCAGGCAACAAAAAAAAAATCTGACTGGATGCTGAGGTTGCATGGATTATGGTGCTGTAGAGATTTATGTTTAAATAGATGAGGAAAATCCTTTGACTTAAAAATATTTTTTCTTTTATTAATTATTCTAGACATTTCATAAGCCCAAAGAGAAAAGTAGTGCAATTCCTGGTTCACAGAATTGAGAGAACCTACTATTAGGAGAAAACATTTGTAGGCTTGAACCATGAATTCAGGTTAATATTTATTTTCTTGTTTATCTGTAATACTTATAAATTCTCTACAGTGAAAGAATAAAAGCCCTGGGTGGTTGCAGTGGCTCATGCCTATAATCCTAGTACTTTGGGAGGCTTAGGCAGGCAGATTGCTTGAGCTCAGGAGTTCAGGACCAGCCCGAGCAACATGATGACACTTCATCTCTACTAAAAATACAAAATTAGCTGGTATAATAGCATACACCTATCATCCCAGCTATGTGGGGGGTCTGAGTCAGGATGATTACGTGGATCCAGGAGGTTGAGTCTGCAGTGAACCGAGATGGTGCCACTGCACTCCTGCTTGGGCAACAGAGCAAGACCCTGTCTCAAAAACAAACAAACAAACAAAAACAAAACAAAACAAAAAAAAGAATGAAAGCCTCTTACACATCCATCAATATTTTTAAAATTAGAGAAGTAAAGCCCTGCAGCAAGATACAATATACATATTTTTAAAACAATCTGAGGAACATATTTGATTAAACTACTTCTTTATAGATTTCTGCTTAGCAACTTGGCTGAAGAATGGCTCAAATAACAAACATAGAAAAAAATTCCTGAACAAAGAAAAGAAAAAATTTTAGAGGATATCACATGGAAAAAATACTTGAAGTCTAAGCAAAAAAATGATTGCATAACTAAGTTTAGATGTATGAATTGTTCTTCAGTAATATAGACAAGTATTGCCTTCAGAATATAATCATTTTTTCTTTTTAACAGTATATATAAAATGCTTTCTATTTGAGCATCAAAATATATTGCCATCAGTTAAAAAATAACAGACAATATTTCAAATAAGATAAAATGCACTAAATTTAAATTAGAACATTTTGCTCGTGATGTGTTCTACTTTATCATATATACTATGATATCTGAGCTCTCTTTTCAAGAACACACTTGACTTACAGGAAAACTCTTATTTTTTTTTCAGATCAGATAGGTAATGTGCCGACATCATAACAAGGTTCGAGCGTGGCACATCTCACACAAGCATGTGAACACCAGACCATCAAGCTCATGAACTACAAAAGGATCAAGGAAAACGTTTAACTGTCTCCCTATACATTGACTTGGATCCCATTTTGATTTAAATATTATCATCAAAAATAATAACTAAGAAGTTTGAGTAAGAGAATTTTTGTGAATTTCATCATAGTGAAAAGAAACTCTGGCAACCTAGAGAGGAGGCACAGATTCGCTTCTACAGCAGTGAAGGAGATACAATTTGGTCGGTGATTAAGGGCCCAAGCTTGTGTTTGAAGGCAGGCTTCACTGGTACCCTCAGCGAGTCATTTAATCTTATTAAACTCAACTCTTATCTGCAAAATCAGAATAATAGTATGAAACAGGTGGGGTTGTGAGGATTAACAAGTGCATATGTAAAATGCTCCATATATATTTGACCATCCTTACCACTCAGAATGTGTTTCATGCTGTTAATTATAATAAAGGCACTAGTAATATGAGCTGAGAAAATATATGCAGGTTATATGCATTTGTCAAACTAATTGAACTGTACACGTAAGATTTGTGTATTACTGCATACAAACTGTACTTCAACAAAATAACAAGAAAATTGAATATATGTGAAGGTAGCAGGATGGGATGGAGAGACAGAAGAAATGTACACTACTTGGATCACATTGTTACTGGATCTTAGTAACTTTATTAAGGTTTATAGGAATAATCTGTTTGAAAATGTCTTTGCATTATTAGTCTAATTAAATGAATACTCACAGTTGACCCTCAAATATATTTTATATCATAAAAATCAATTTGTTAATCTCATTTTTGGTATTATAAATTCTAAAACAGATACAAGGAACAACCTCAGGCACAATCCACAGTGAAATTGTAATCGGCATCATTGTGAAGGTCTCTTTATTAATTGCATATCTCTAACCATTTTGTAAGGGTCCACGGAAATGTCATACACAGATGACTAAAGATTAATAATTTCAAACAAGTCCACAGTAGCCAATGAGAAGCTACTGCACATTAGGCACAACGTTAAGCATTTTACAAGTATTTCCTTTTATAATCTATCCAACAATTCTACAGGACTATGGTCTTCAATCTACCATATAAAGGTGGAACTGTCAAATCGTTGGACTAATTGTCCAAGGTCACAGAGTTGCTGATGTCAGAGCACACAACAGGACCCCTCTCAGACTCCACAGGCTATAATTTTTTAAAAACCCTTTTTAATTTTTAAGTAATTACTTTCCACAGGCCCAAAAGCACAAAAACACCTGCATGTGCCAAGTTTCTACCAAAAAGTATCACCTACATGTGATCACGAGTCCTTCTCTTTCATGACAATGTCAGGCATCAATCACTTTACATTCTTGCCCTTAATGCTGTTCCTTTTTGCATCCATACTGGGGAGGCAGAAGGAGAGAGGAAGGAAGGGGAGAGGAAGAAGGAAGGAAAGAAACCATAGGAAGAAAAAAGAAAAACAGGACAAGAAACATTTACATCATTGTACTCTTTATCCACGAAAAAATGTTCAATTTTATAGGTTCTACCTGTAAGAGATAGGTTCTACCTGTAAGACAAAGCTTGAAGAAGTAAAAGCCTTTTTAAAAACTTATTTTGAAATCATCTGAGATACAGAAAAGAATAACAGAATACAGTCATCTCTTGATATCCCTGGCAGATTAGTTCCAGGACCCTGTAGATCCCAAAATCAAGGGATGCTGGTACCTGATATAAAATGGTACAGTATTTGCATATAACATATGCACATTCTCCTGTTCACTTTAAATCATCTCCAGATTACTTATAAGACCTAATCCAATGTAAATGCTATGTAAATAGTTGATATAGTCTGCTGTCTAGTGAATAATGATTTTTTTAAAAGTCTGTACTTGCTCAGTTCAGACTCAATCACTTTTTTTCTTGAATATTTTCCCTCTGAGGTTGGTTGAATTCATGGATGCAGAACCCAGAGGTAAAGAGGGCTGACTATACAGAGTTCCTACATTTCCTTCAGTCAGAGGGGCCTTATATTTTAATCTGCAAGGTCCACAATGCCCACCAATTTTTGAGACTTGGGGATTTTATATTATTTAACACTAGGATAAATTTTCCTTTAACAACATAAGCATAGTTACCAGTCTATATAACAAAGATTATAGTGGAAAATGTTTGATATGGATAAATGGAAAAACAGTAGGATATAGTTTGATGATTTTTCTAGCCAGTGTTCCTTTTAGCCTACCACATAACACCACTAAATCTTTTCAGCTTATAACACGTTTCTGCATAGTTAATTAGCTCATACTCAATTGGTAAACAGTGGGATAGCAAAAGATATATGGACTTACACGAGTTCCTTCCCACTCCCTGGCACCTGGTTAATGTTTAATCACCAAGTCACAGCAGGAGAACATAAAGTATACGAACAGAATTGAACAGAACAGGGCAAAGAGTAATACACAGAGTAATCCATAATGCCCATTTACATCTGCAGTATTATTCTTTGTTCTGTTTGACCAAAAAGTCTCTATTGAAAATACGCAACGTTTGCTTTTTCTGATTTTGATGCATTTTGTATTTGCCACCCTTTCAACTCTTCATCTCTTTTGAACAATACACTTTCATCTTTTGTTTTTCTATGATTAGGTGTATATTGACCGTATCAGTTATTTATTTATTTATTTGTTGGTACTAACATATCTTCCTAATGCCACTAGTTTTTTGGTTGGAATTGTTATTTTTTCTCATGGTCCTGTTTTTTGTTTGTTTGCTTGTTTTAGGGCATGATTTGCAGAACCTATGTTTTTCGAAAACTCATATATCACATTACAGCAGAAACACCTGCCCAAGACTTTATCTTGTTAACATTAAAATAGAGTAGACTCTTAGAACTCTCTACTCAGTTAAGAGATTATAAAGAACTCACTACATTTCAAATAATCAGTTTATATATAATTATGATTTATAAATTATAAGTTCATATAACAATTGTAATAAATTATAAAAATTACTATCTGTTATATACATTTTTCAACTGAGATTAAGTTATATTTCTGAGATTGACAACCATAAAGCATTTAACGAGTTGTATCAGAATCACATTAAGTTGTTTTTGGTTTAAATCTTATGAGAATGTTTCCTAAATAATTACATCCTCTTTAGGGCACAACTAGTTGGAGTTTTCATCAAAGTGACTTGATAGTCTTCTTGAGAAGAAGGATCTAATAATATAGCTTCCATTATAGAATAAGTGCCCACCTTAACATGTAACAAACGTCCATGATAACACTGAAACTTTCAGCTAATACAGCAAGTGGAATTCAAGTGTAAGTGCAAGGCTACAAATTCAAGTACAAGGCTTCCTCGTGGAACTTTTCTTACATTTCCTGAGTTCTTCTCCCTGCTGAGGGCATAACAAGTAAGATAAAGGATTCTCTTCTGGAACCTGTTCAGTTTTCTCTGTCACTTTCATATAGTATATATTTATTTGTCTTCCTATATTTTAAAAATCCCGCAGTCATGGTTGAAGACTTTTCTCTTTGAGCACAAAGCCCATGTCCATTAGATCTTGAAGCTAAAGTTCAGTACCAGTACCTTTTCTATCCAACATCACAAAGCAAAGCAAACTCTGAAGAAGTATACTTCTTAAAACCTGAAGCCTGACATTTAATTTTGAATGAATTCCAACAACTGAACATGAACAACTCATTGATAAGAGCCAAAATCAATTCTTAGTATAGATCTCAAAAGACTTTGGCCCATGAGGTAGTAGAGAGAGAATCTGGGGGGTTGGCGTAGGGGTGTGGAGTATCCAGGTCCACGAGGACGTCAGGAATCAGGCTATCATGTCAGATCTCTGAGAATTGTGTCAGTTTGTTTGTGGGGGTGCTTCTATCACACTGACCCAGAAAGCTTCTTGAACAAGTTCTAAGGAGCATAATGGTAACAGTAACATAACAGCCAATCATGTCTTCATCTGTATAAGGGGGCTTGTCCACCTACACACAATGCCAAAGGATGGCTCTGGCCTTTCAATAATAGCAGTTTTGTGAGTTTATCAATTCACCACTTCATTTATGCATCCAGGCATCAAATATGTGGAGTACTTAATTAGTATCAAGCACTCATCTATCTCCTCCCTCCTTATTGATAACACAGACAGTGTGGGCAGAACAGTACACACTTTCCTGAGTAACTAGCACAGAATCAGCTCCCATTTCTCACCATTTCTCACAGTATTCTGTAACGTCTGCTTATTTATACTAACATTATGAGTACCAAAAAGGGGAAAATATGAATCAAATTCAGTATTATTATAGTCTGATGACAATGAGAATAAAAATTATATGATTTATTTTAACATGTGGAATTCCTTTAATGCAGTAATGGAAATTCAACAGACTTCTCTTTTTTAATGAACAGTTAAATGTTGTCCATTTGGCTTCTTATCAAAGAAATCCAATTAAAAAGTTACCAGGCGCTTTGCTACATTGCTATGGGAGTAAATTGGTTCAACGTTCTTCAGAAGCAATCTGACAACATACACAGAAAGCTTAAAAGTATTCCTATCATTTGGCCTAATAATTTCAGTTCTAGGAATATTCTGTAAAGAGATCTGCAACCTGAAGTTTTTTGCGCAAAACTTTTTATGTCATCATTAATTGTAGTCGGGAAAAGTAGAAAACAACACAAATGTATAACAAGAGAGAAAGTTATGTAATAGCCATAGAAAAAATTGACACATGATCATTAAAAATGTTTTTGAAACCTTAATACAGAAAAAAATGCTTGTGAAACAGACAAATTTTAAAAGGAACATTCAAAATTAAGTATATTGTTCTATGTAAAATATATAAAATGATGAAGACCCAGAAAACATTAACTACTTAGGTTAATTAGAAATAATTGTTTCTTTGTATGATTCTACCTTTAAAAACACTGAGCTGTCATCACAAATTAAAGAAATCCCAAATCTGGTATAATGGAAGTATTTTGATTATTTAGCTGTTATGCTAGGTGCCAGGAAGAAAACTTCGAGCCGGGGCCCAAAGAC